CTGGCCAACATGGTGAAATCCTGTCTCTACTAAAAATACAAAAATTAGCTGGGCATGGTAGCGGGCACCTGTAATCCCAGCTACTCGGGAGGCTGAGGCAGGAGAATCACTTGAACTTGGAGGGCAGAGGTTGCAGTGAGCCCAGATAGAGCCATTGCACTCCAACCTGAGCAATAGAACGATACTGTCTCAAAACAAAAACAAAGTGAGGCTGGGCTCAGTGGATCACACCTGTAATCCCAGCACTTTGGAAGGCTGAGGCAGGTGGATCACCTGAGGTCAGAAGTTCGAGACTAGCCTGGTCAGAATGGTGAAACCCCATCTCAACTAAAGATATAAAACTTAACCAGGCGTGATGGTGCTTGCCTGTAGTCCCAACAACTTGGGAGGCTGAGGCAGAAGAATCACTTGAACCTGGGAGGCAGACATTGCAGTGAGTCGAGATTGTCCCACTGCACTCCAGCCTGGGCAACAGAGTGAGACTCCCATCTCAAAAAAAAAAAAAAGTGGGGTTGATAGTATACCTTTCGTAGAATTTTTGTGGAAGTTCAGTTGAGTAGTAGTTGAGGATTCACACTTGGCTTGCACCATTTATCAGCTCTGTGAGTTTGGGCAAATGTGTATCTTAATGCATTGGTTTCTTTATCTTTAGCAAGGAGATAATGGTAGCACCCCTCATACTGTTGGTGGAGAATTAAATGGCAAAGCATATGTCAGGGGGCTTGGCATCAAGCAGTCAGCCTATGTCGGCCTTTGTTACTCTGTTTACTACTTGTATTGTTAAGAAGATGGTGTTCATAAAGGGCTAGCACCGAGTGTTGGAGGGCTTAAAACCACAGACCGGGATCTTAGCTCTGCCCCTTCAGGGTAAATAGGAATGAATGACTTAGGCTCCTGGACCTCTCTGTTTTTATTTGTGAAATTGGGATGACAATGGTCATCTTGTAGGTGTGTCTGAGCACACCTGAGAAAAGCTAGCACACAGCCAGAAGTTACAAGAAGAACATTTTCGAATTGGGTAGAAATGGGCAGCTGGAGGCGGAGGGAGTTGCAGAGCAGAACTTTGTAGATAGGAAGGGTGTGGTGGTTCACACTTGTAATCTCAGCACTTTGGGAGGCTGAGGCAGGCAGATCACGAAGTCAGGAGTTGGAGACCAGCCTGGGCAATATAGTGAAACTCTGTTTCTACTAAAAATACCAAAACTTCCCTGGGCGTGGTGGCCTGCAGTCCCAGCTACTTGGGAGGCCGAGGCAAGAGAATCGCTTGGACCTGGAAGGTGGAGGTTGCAGTGAGCCGAGATCATGCCACTGCACTCCAGCCTGGGCGACGGAGTGAGACTCCATCTCAAAAAAAAAAAAAAAAAAAAAAAAAAAAAAAAAAAAAAAAAAAAAAAAAAAAAAAAAAAAAAAAAAGAAGTTCGCAGATAATAGAAAAGTGGATCTTCAGTGGGATTTGCCACCCTCGGTGAACCAGCACTTGAGAAATGTTACTAGCCAATTAAATTAATTTAATGGGCATAGGCAGGTGGTAGATGCCCTTTGATAATAATGTGCCAGTTACTATTTATGAGACAGAGTTTTGCTTTTGTTGCCCAGGCTGGAGTGCAATGGCGTGATTTCAGCTCACTGCAGCCTTCAGTTCAAGCAGTTCTGCCTCAGCCTCCCAAGTAGCTGGGATTACAGGCATGTGCCACCATGCCTGGCTAATTTTGTATTGTTAGTAGAGATAGGGGTTCGCCATGTTGACCAGGCTGGTTTCGAACCCCTGACCTCCAGTGATCCACCAGCCTTGACCTCCCAAACTGCTGGGATTACAGGCGTGAGCCACCACGTCCAGCAGCCAGTTACTATTTAATGCATGGTTGGTGACACCTTTAAGTGCTGCCCTGGCCCTCAGAGGGTGTGCAGTTGTGGGCTTCGGAGCCCTGTCCTGTCAGCTCCTCTTGCTTCAGGCCTGGTCCTCTTAACTGGCTCTCATAAACAGGGCCCTCCCGTCACTCCGCTCCCATCACATCCTCTGGCACTTTGTTCAATGTGAGTGATGCTTGGAGTTGTGAGAAGCAGTATGTTTCCTGCATATGGAAGACAGGGACCTTCAGCACTGTATTCTTAAGCTAGGTGTCACCTGTGCTAGTGCTTTTCAAACTGTCATTGGTGAAGGACAGTTTCCAATCTGTTGCAGATTGATGCTTTTGATAAACAGGATAGAATTTTTTTTTTTCTTTTTTTTAAGACGAGGTTTCACCATGTTGGTCAGGCTGGTCTTGAACTCCCAACCTCAGGTGATCCGCCCGCCTTGGCCTCCAAAGTGCTTGGATTACAGGCGTGAGCCACCACGCCCGGCCAGAATTACTTTTTAAAGAAAGACCTACAGTCAGGAGTTCTAGACCAACCTGGCCAATATGGCGAAACCCCCTCTCTACTGAAAATACAAAAATTAGCCAGCATAGTGTCGTTTACCTGTAATCCCAGGTACTCAGGAGGCTGAGGCAGGAGAATCACTTGAACGATTCCAGTCAGTTCCTGGGTTCCTTTTAGAAACATGATTGCTAGTGGGTTCCTTGTAGAGACAGCACAGAGGGGAAAGCAGGACATAGAATCGCTTGAACCTGGGAGGCGGAGGTTGCCAAGGTCGCCCATTGCACTCCAGCCTGGGTCACAGAGCGAGACTTCACATCAAAAAATAGAAGACCTGCAGAATAAAAGACCAAATTTGTGTTAGAGTCAGTGGGCGTAAAACTGTGAAATTGCTGTGGAAGTTTCTGAGCACTTACTCCCGGTTTCTATACTTCTCACAGTCCAGCAAGTTTGGATAGTGCTGGTCCATGGACTGTGCTTAGTTTTTGAGATAGGGTCTTATTCTGTTATCCAGGCTGGAGTTCAGTGTCACCGTCATGGTTCATGGCCGCCTCGCTCTCCAGTGCCCAAGAGATCCTCCTCCTTAGCCTCCCTAGTAGCTGGGACTATAGACGTGTGCCACCACACCTGGCTCGTTTGTAAATTTTTAGTAGAGATGGTGTTTCACTGTGTGTCCCAGGCTGGTCTGAAACCCCTGGGCTCAAGCATTCTTCCTGTGTCATCCCCCCAAAGTGCTGGGATTACAAGTGGAAGCCACTGTGTGTGGCTTTGATCTGTGCCCCTCCCCTCCCTCCACTGTGACTGGGGAAGTGTACATGTGTGTTTATTTTTGTAGGGGGGTGTGGGAGGGTTGACATGCTTATTTCCTTGGTGAGCGTCCCTTGCCATTTCTCCTAGTCCTTCCCACCCTGTCACCTCTCTTCTTGTTCCTAGGACCCTCGAGATGCCCCTCCTCCAACTCGTGCAGAAACCCGAGAGGAACGCATGGAGAGGAAAGTATGTCATTTTTGCTTCCTGACCCTCCTTTCGCCACTTTCTCCACATGGTCCTTGACACTAGGGCACTTCTATCTGCATTTACTTACTCACCTCCCCTTTCTCATGACAGAGACGGGAGAAGATTGAGCGGCGGCAGCAGGAAGTGGAGACAGAGCTCAAAATGTGTACGTCTCTCATCCACTGTTCTCCTCTCTCCTCCCCTGTGTTCTTTCCAGGTCATACCCAGGATCCTGCTGTCTCCCAAAGGCCTATTTTGGGGGGAGCAGGGTTGTTAGTTCTTTTATTTAGCCCCTGCCACTTGGCAAGCCCTGTTTTTGGTTTGGGCTTTTCAGCAGCAGAACATACGGTAAAAGTTGGCGGGAAGGGAGACCCCTGGTACCTTGGGCCCTTCCTGCAGGGGAGGACAGTTATAAGGGGCTCCCACAACCCAGCTGGGTCTCAGGCTGAGGCAGTGAGTTGTGGGCTAGTGGGTCCGTCCCGGTTCTACCCTTAGCTCCCTGACCCTTGGGCTGAGGATGTTGATCCCCTCCATGTATCAGAGGAATTGGGAGTACAAGACAGGTGTGTTGTCGCCGTTAACCAAACTGATAAGAAGGTCAACTGTCAACCTCTAGTGGCTCTTTATTGTGAGAGTGAAAACTCACGCAGCATAGTGATTTTCAGTCAGCAGGGGACCACAGATGTGATGGTGAGCCCACGTGATTAGACTATATTTTGCTGGGCATGGTGGCTCACGCCTATAATCCCGTACTTTGGGAGACTGAGGCGGGTGGATCATGAGGTCAGGAGTTTGAGATCAGCCTGGCCAGCCTGGCGAAACTCTGTCTATATAAAAATGAAAAATTAGCTGGGTGTGGTGGTGCGCACCTGTAATCCCAGTTACTCAGGAGGCTGAGGCAGGAGAATCTCTCGAACCTGGGAGGCGGAGGTTGTAGTGAGCTGAGGTCGTGCCATTGCACTCCACCCTGTGCAACAAGGGTGAAACTCCATCTCAAAAAACACAGGTCCAGTGGGCTGGGGGAGGGTGGAGATGAAACAAGTTTGGCCGCACGTTGATGATGGAAGTGGCTCGTGGGAGTTTGTTGTACTGCTCTCCACTTCTGTTAAGTGCTTGAACTTCTCCATAATAGAAGAGAAAGAATGGGTCAAGTTCAGGGGGTTTCTGTGCCCTCGAGAGCCTCCACTTCTAACTGTAGAAGCTTGCTGTGCGTCATCCCAATGACCAGCTCCCGTCAAGGGGACCGTGCTCCTTGCTGAGCACTCGTCCTTCCTGTTACTGACTTCTCACGGCTTCCAAGCACAACAGGGGTTGTTTCTCCCATTTTCAAGATGAAGAAATGGAGGCTTGTTGAGGCAAGCATGCTTATAAAGAATGAGAGTTCCGAGATGGGGCTTCCACCATCGCAAAGCCTAATAAAGTTTCCCAGCTCCACGACCCAGCTCCTTTGAGTCCCTGCTCTGGGCTGCTGCTAAGATGAGCCCTTAACCAACGATTTCCTAAGGTTGGAGCCGCTGGCAGGGCTCTGCACGCATACCCTGGCTGGTGGGGTGCTGACTGGCACTGGTTCTGTGCTGCCCTCTTTCAGTCATGCTCTATCTTCATTGCTTATGTACCATTGCTTTGCTGCACTCTTACCTTCAGTCACATTCGTGCCCCGCCCCACCCCCACCCGCCTAGGGTAAGCGAGTACTCTTGGGAACTCACGCAGTGCACTGGGGTGGGTTCCCTCTGGCTGCCCTTTGGGAGGCTCCGCTGTTATTTGGCCTTCGTTCACTTACCCGACCCCACAGCAGTCATTGGTCCCACTGTAGTGTGTAGGGACCAGCCCTACAGGGTCGTGGGGTGTCCCCTATTGCGTCCATGGTAACTTACAGCACCTTCTGTTTGGTGTTGCCAGGTGTGTTTCCCCATGGCTGTGACAATCTTCTGCTCTTCATTAAATGTCAGCATCTTATGAGGTCTCTCCTAACCTCTTATAAAATCATCCCTTTCTATGTCTGTCATCATCTGATGTGATCATATGATCTCCTTATTCCATTAGCATATGAACTCCATGAGGGTAGACACCTTTTTTGTCTTTTTGTTTGTGTTTTTTGAGACAGTCTCACTGAGGGTGGAGTGCCGTGGTGTGATCTCAGCTTACTGCAACCTTTGTCGCCTCTGGTTCTTAGCGATTCTCTTGCCTTAGACTAGCTGGACCATGCCTAGCTAACTTCTTTCTGTATATTTAGTAGAAACGAGGTTTTGCTGTGTTGGCCAGGCTGGTCTCGAACTCCTGTTCGCAAGTGATCCGCCTGCCTTGGCCTCCCAAAGTGCTGGGATTACACGTGTGAGCCACCGCGCCTGGCACTTTTTCTGTCTCGTTTACTGCCAAATCCCCAACAACTATAGCATTTCCAGGCACATAGTAAGTGCTTAAGGATTACCTATTTACAAAAACACAAACGTGGGGAACCAAAGAAAGAATTACCTATTGAATGAGTGAGAGTTACGTGGTGCAAAAAAAAAAAAAAAAAGCCAGTGCAGATTGAGAGACCTGGACAAAGAGAATTACAAAACTGAGGGATTAGGTATGGCAAGGAACTTTTTTTTTTTTTAAGCAGATTCTTACTGTGTTGCCCAGGCTGGAGTGCTGTGGTGCCATCTCAGCTCACTGCAACCTCCACCTCCCGGGCTCAAGCGATTCTCCTACCTCAGCCTCTGAGTAGCTGGGACTGCAGGCACATGCCACCACCATGCCTGGGTAATTTTTTTTTTTGTAGAGACGGGGTTTCTCCATGATGGTCAGGCTGGTCTCAAACTCCTGACCTCATGTGGTCTGCCCTCATCAGCCTCCCAAGGTGCTGGGATTACAGGCGTGAGCCACTGCGCCCGGCCTGGTAAGGAGCTTCGAGGAGTGGGTAGGTAGCATGCCGAGGTGGAGTAGTTTTCAGATGTTTCCATCCGTCCTATATAGTGATTCCCTTAAATTGTGGCTCAGGCTACTGGTTTTTGAAGCATTCCTTAAAGTCATCTTGACTTTAGTTTAGGCTTGTAGTTGAATCCTCTTATAAGAAACAAATCTGAGACTTTATTTCTCTAGCTTCTGGCAACACCTGCTGTCTTCCTGAAAGGTAGCACCCGGGGACTTGGGGCAGGAGCCTAGTAATGTGAATGCCTGGGCTGGGAGGGCAAGTTGGCCTCGCCCTTTGCCACTTTGACCACCTCCCTTTTCTGTGTCTTGAGTTTGTTCTGTTTTGCTTCCATTTACAAAGTAGTAATAATTAAGTTTCAGTGTCCAGCACTGTCTGGGCCATAGTATGTGCTCAGTAAATTATATGCCTAGTGTTCCATTATTGGAACGCTAAGTATGTGGGAGTTATTTATATCCTGCTGCTCAAGATCATTGCCAAGGTCTGCTTTTTCAAGTCTGCAGGTCAGAAAGTTGTACCCTCCGGCATAAATGGGTCACTGTTACTCACATTCTCCCAGAATGTGCCGGCTTCTGAGGGGACACTGTACCAAGGAAGAAAGGGCAGAGTGTCCTGAGAGCCTGGCAGCAGTCAGGGTCATTATGTGCTGGGGCCATGGCATTTGGTGAAAAGGACTCATTCCCAGGCCTGACCCAGCAGAATCACCTGTGGACGTGGTTTCTTAGGAGACTCCTGGCTCTTCTCTTTGGGGATTGTTATTCCTCAGTAGCCAGATAGGACAGTTTGCTTCACAGTAATGGGGCTGGAGTGAGAATCTCATCCGATGCTTGTCAGTTCCTGGGTTTCTTTTAGAGACACAGGGCACACGGGAAAGCAGGCCTTAGGTAAGCTTGGCTCTCCTGGCTCTTATTCGTAGCCTTGGGGCTGCTAGGTCTCAGGTTTTCCTGTGGACTGTAGCTGCAGTCTGTGTCCAGTGGGTGGCAGTGTGGCTCTGCTAATGGCGGGAGCTCAGAATCTGGGGGCATCAGCTGCATCTCCAGGGAGGCACTTTTGGACTGTTATTATTTGGATCACCTTGCATCTGGGAGCTATGGGGCCCTCGTGGCTTCTGTAGGTCTGAAATGGTAGTTGGGCCTGCTACATCCTGTCAGCTTGAAGTCAGCCTTACCTCCTCCCCTCAGCAGCCTGGATTCTCATCTCTCAGCCACTCTGATAAAGGCTACTGTGCCTTAGAGAAACAGGTTCAGAGAGGGGCATGCTCAAAGTCACCAGGTCACCATCGTGTTCCTCCAGTTAGGGGCCTCTCCCAGTGCCTTCTTTTTCTTCTTGGCCTCTGCCCATCTGTATTTGTTTTGCTACCTGAGACCGTGGACATCTTCAGCTTACAAAATTCCTTTCTTCCTACACAGGGGACCCCCACAATGATCCCAATGCTCAGGGGGATGCCTTCAAGACTCTCTTTGTGGCGAGAGTGGTAAGTCCCCAGCTCCCAGCCCCTGGAACCCCAGACTGCTGAGCGCCTGGGTCTGGGACAAAGGGCAAATAGGCTAGGTCCCAGGGAATGTTCCAGGGGTATGTCCCTTTTCCCATTTAACGTCATCTCCATCTCCTTGTAGAACTATGACACAACAGAATCCAAGCTCCGGAGAGAGTTTGAGGTGTATGGACCCATCAAAAGAGTAAGTGGGGTGGGTCAGGGTGTTTGAGTGGGGGGGTGCGTGGAGGAGGGCTGTAGCCTGAAAGGGAGGGGGCGAGGTCCCAGCCTGAGCCAGGCGCGCAGCATTTCAGGGCCTGGGATGAAGCATCCTGAGTGAATCCCCATGCAGCAGGCCTTGGGGAGCAGGAGTCAGATGAGAAGTAATGACTGTAGTGACTGCTGGTGCCTGGTTTAGAGCAGGGGCTGGCAAACTACAGACTTACTGCTTGTAAATAAAGTCTTATGGGCTCAGCTGGGCATCTGTTTGTTCATACATTGTCTTTGGCTGCCCTTTTTTTTTTTTTTTTTTTTTTTTTTTTTTTTTTTTTTTTTTT